GGCCCTGCTTTTGGGTCTATAAAATGAGGTCTGTGAGGTAAGGGCACCCATCACATCACTCCCTGGGGAAGCAGCATTGCTGGGCCCCACACCAGCCTCCCCACCCAGGTCCCCAGATCTCCTGCCCCAGACCCACACAGGAAGACGGCCTCGGATTCTTCAGGCTGTGAGCTTCTGCCTCCTGAGTTGCACCTGGTGCTGGGTCCGCCACGCCTTTCATGAGGCTGCTGCCTTCTCCTACCTCAGGACCCACCTCTGCCTGGCTGACTAGTATCCAGCCCCAGCCATATTTCTGGTCTTTCAACATACCGAGTACTCCCTTTCTTCAGGGCCTTCCTACTTAGTTCTTTTTGCCTGGAACTTAGATGTCCCCTTCCAAAATACCACAGACCGGGTGGCTTGATTGATAGAAATGTATCTTCTCCCAGTGCTGGAGGCTGGAAGTGCAGGAGCAGAGTGTCAGCAGGCTTGGTTTCTGGTGAGGTCTCTGCCCTTGGCTTGCGGATGGACACCTTCTTGCTGTGTCCTCACATGGTCTTCCTTCTGTGCGTGCGTGGCCCCCAGTATCTCCCTGTGTGTCCAAATGTTCTCTACTTAAAAACACCAGACGCATTAGATTAGGGCTCACCCTAACAGCATCATTTTAACTTCATCACCTCTTTAAAGACCCTATCTCCAAACACAGTGACATTCTGAGGTTCTGGGATTAGGGCTTCAACATATGAATATGGGGTGAGGGAGGGACAGAATTCAGCCTGTGCCACCACCCTTCAAGTCTCTCCTCCAGTGGCATTCTTCCAGGAGTGTTACCAGAGGCCTCTGCATAGGGCTGCCTGGGCAGCTCGCTGCGGGTGCTGCATGGCTGAACCCTCTTCTGCTGGCCAAGACCCTCGCACTGCGTGGAGCTCCACCCATCCAGGGAAAGGAGAGCCTTTTTCTTTGCCAAAGGCGCCATCTGCTCATGAAGCCATGCATGGGTTCTGTCTGCCCTGGGAGAACTCCATCTCTAACTCTAGTACAGGACCCCCATGAGCACTTGAAAACACAGATTTCCCTTCTTCCCATCCTGCCACCTGCGCTCCCCCATCACCCTGTATGTTTTCTGTGATGCATGCCAATAGCTCGTCCTAGTGGTTGAGGGTTCTGCTCTGTATTTGACCATCTCAACCTCTAGAAAGAACCTGGCCCTATTCAGTGTCACATCCTCCTCTTAGTGCCAAGCCTGGCATCTATGTCAATTCACCGGAGGAAGGAAAATGCCCTGCTCACCCTTCGGAGCCCTTTCTGGCAGATGCCAGACTCCCCTCTGCCCACATTTGTTCCCAGCTCTGATGAGCTCACCCCAGGAGGAAAGAGTAGTGAGTGGGAGAACCGAGGGGCTGTCCAAGGAATGGGCAATGGGAAGAGTTCACCAGAGGTCAGGCGGCTGCTGGCTGCCTGAACCCCAGCGGGTGAAAATGCTGAGTGAGATGGAAAAATGTCTCAAGCAGAGAGGAAGGAGCTGAGTGAGCCTTGGAGACGTATAAGGTGCACTTATGGGAGGAGAGGGAAAGAAAACACAACAGCCATGTGAAAGAGCCCACAGTCTGTGGGAAAATGCCACCAAAGGCAGCCCTGGCCTCAGATGGGTGGGAAATGTGCAGGGCCCGGACGACCGGGGCCGATGCCTCGGTGAGGGCCGCCCATAATACCTGCAAGGCCGGCATGTAAATCACTCACGTGCATGGCGTGTCGCAGAAGACATTAGCCTCCAAGGAAAATTCCTTCCTGACCCACTGGTTCATCTATTTCAGGGGTGTTGTTTTTGGAATAATTTCGGGCATAGAACTCACAGGAACATCATTTGGATATTTTTCTTGAGGCCTGGTGAAAAAAGGATTGGCCGGCCGGGTCGCTGCAAGCCCAGAGGTACCTTTCTGAGATTTCTTCTTCATGGCTTACAGGGCCATTGTAAATCCAGGGTAATATTTTTCCTTGCAGGTGAACATATTCATTTTTTGGGTTGTTGTTAGGTCACACAAAGTCCTAGGAAGTGGCCTATTGTTCAGGGTTGGGAGGCTAAGGCATATAAGTAATGACATCCTTATTGGAGGTTTGATGAATGAAATGCAATAATCGAGTTTCTTTTGTTCTTGCCTATGGGGTCCACAATTGTTAATCTATAACTTGCTATATGGATTCAAACTTATTAATCATTTTAAAGCAAAATTCCACTTAATGACTGAAATAGAAAATGAGACCTTGATGAAATGAAATGTCAGTCTGGCCCCATTGTTCTCCCCAGTGGATGCCAAATGGCAGATTCTTGAACTTCCTCCCCAGAGAGGGTTTGGAGGAGCTGAGGCTGTTGAGACAGGGAAGGTGGGCGGAGCTCAGGGGTGAAGTGTCATCTTTGACCCATGCACAGGCGTGGACAAGGCCTTATGGCTCCAGGTGAGACCTCTGGTGTCTCCGCATCCATGCTAGCAGTGGCTTCCTTAGAAGGTGGGCCTCGCCCCATTTACTGCCATGGTTTGCTGTCAGGCCTAGAAAGCTGGGCTGAAAAGGGTTCAGTCTTCCTGGACAGAGGTCATCAAGAGAATTCTAGTTTCTTTTCTTTTCTTTTCTTTTCTTTTTTTTTTCTTTTTTTGAGATGGAGTCTTGCTCTGTCTCCCAGGCTGGAGTGCAGTGGGGCAATTTCGGCTCATAGCAACCTCCGCCTCCCGGGTTCAAGTGATTCTACTTCAGCCTCCTGAGTAGCTGGGATTACAGGCGCCCACCACCACACCCAGCTAATTTTTGTATTTTTAGTAGAGACGGGATGTTGCCATGTTGGCTAGGCTGGTCTCAAATTTCTGACCTCAGATAATCCGCCTGCTTCAGCCTCCCAAAGTGCTGGAATTACAGGCATAAGCCACCGCACCAGGCTGGGAATTCTAGTTTCTTACATCTGTAGAGCTCTTTAGAATCTGTGAAACATTTTTACAGCTGTGTCCCAGGTAACCTCACAGCGTTCTTGGGAGGTAAGTAGGACTGGTTTCTCAGCTCCTTTGAGATAGGTGAGTAAATCGAGGAACAGGGTAGCAAAGTGACTCGGCCCTCACCAGATTGAGGACTCCAAGCCAGGTCTCTTCACCTGCGGTCTGGTGCACCTTCCCAGCCCACAGTGCACCAGGCTGGACCCATCCAGGGACTCCAGCCTCAGTCCCTGGGGAAAGGAAAATGGGCCTGTCTCTCTTTACAATGGGCTTGTGAAACAGAAAGTTCTGGTCCTGATGGTCTGCAAGAAGTGGGTATGGCTCATCTGGTTTCTTGCCTGTCTCTACCACTAGAAAGTGAGAAGGTGAGTGAGAGAAGGGACATTGGTCTGTTTTGTTTACTGTGTTTCCCCAGTGCCTGAAGGAGTGCCTGGCACATATAGTATGTGCTCAATAAATATTTGATAAATGAATTAGTGGACGAACAAATGAATGAAGCAACCTATCTCAGGACTGAGGCTCCCCCACATCCAGAAACCATCTAATGGTCCTTCTCTGGATCCTCAAGACCCTTCTAGCTCTTCTCTGTCTGAGAGGTTCTATGCACAGGGACCAAGGATCCCTGCTTAGAGAGCAGAGTCGGCACCTGTCAGCATAGCCTGTCCTAGAAGGGGAACCCTCTGCTGCGGCCCCATCCCATCTCATACTTCCCAGATATTCTATTATTCAACACTTGAAACAAATCAGCACAATATTAGTTTGTCTATTTTTTGGAATCAAATCAATCAATGCAATTATTCTGCAAACATTATTGGAGCAGTACCTCTGTGGCAGGCCCTGCACTAGGCTCTGCAGGAGCTGCCGGGGACAGGCTGGGCCCCGTGTGCCAGGCCCCTTTGTGCAGGAGCTCTGAGGGCACAGAGGGAGACAGCCATGGCCACTGGCAGCCTAGTCCCTTTCCCCAGGGCTCCAGTTGTCTGTGTTGCATAACACTGTACCTTCAGTTTATTGGAGTAAAACAAAAATGACCATTTATTATTATTATCTTTCATGGCTCTGAGGTTGACTGGTGCAATTAGGTGGTTCTTGTCTGGGACCCTCATTTAATTATAGACAGGCAGTGGCTGGAGTCACCTTGAAGGCCTCTTAACTCTCACATCTGATGGTTTAAGTTGGCTGTTGGCTAGAACCCATGAGGCTCTCCTTGTGTCCTGGGCCTCCTCACAGCATGGTCAGTGGGTTTCAAGAAAAAGTATTTCAAGAGAGCCAGGTGGGAGCTGTATCACCTCATGAGACCTAGGAAGTCACTTACAGTCACCACTGCCCTGCTCTGTTGGTTGAGGCAATCACAAAGACCCACTCAGGCACAAAGGGAGGCACAGAGATTTCGCTTGATGGAGGAGTGGCAAGGCCTCACTGTTAAGAAGAATCTGCAGGATGGAACGAAGTGTGTGGCCACTTAGGCCAATCCAATCTGCCATTCCCAGAGACCCTGGGGTGGAGGAGGAAACTTTATTCCTTTATTTTCTTTCTTTCCTTCTTCCTTCCTTTCCTTCCTTCTTATCTTCATTTCTTCTCTCTTTCCTTTGCTTCTTCCCTCCTCTCTCCCCTCCTTCCCTCCTTCCTCCCTCCCTCCTCCCCTTCTTCCCTCCCTCCTTCCTTCTCTGTTTCCCTCCTCTCCCTCCCACCCTTCTTATTCCCTCCTTTCTCCCCCATCGCTCCCTCCTTCGCTCCTTCCTCCCCTCCCTCTCTCCTTCCTTCCCTCCTTCGCTCCTTCTTTCTTTTCTGCCTTTCCTCCTTTTTCCCTTCCTCCCTCCTTCCCTTCTTTCTTCTTTTTTTCCTTCCCTTTCTCCCTCCTTTCTTCCTTCCTTACTCCTTCCTTCCTTCCTTTCTTCTTTCCTTCCTTCTCTCCTTCCTGCCTCCCTCCTCACCGCCTGTCCCTGCCCATGCTAAGGCCAGGCTGGGTGGGGAAGGGCTCTTGTTCACCCAGTTTCTTGAGATAGCAGCCAGGTCCATGTGGCTGCCAGGTCAGCTCTCAAGGCAGGAAACATGGAGACCTTGTCTCCTCAGCTGTCAAATCAGAGTAAGAGGAAGAGCACAGGCCTTGCCTTCCTGGTGCGATTGTTGTCATGAGTGGAGGGGCCAGAAATGGCAAAATATTTAGAGTCTGGCAACCTGGGTGTGAATCCCAGCTCTTCCCATCCTAACTCTGTGCCTTCGGGACAAGAGCAACTCTAATACTGAGTATTTGTCAGGCCTGGGTCCCAGTGAAAGCTCTTCATGTGTATTTTCCTGCTTAAACCTTATGACAACCCAGTAGGTGGATATCATGGTACCCTTTTTGTAGATTAAGAAACAAAGGCTCAGAGAGGCTGAAACACTTATCTCAGGTAACACAGCTAAGGGGCAGAGCCAGGCCCATCTTACCTGAAGTTTGAGCTGCATTCTTCCCCCTCCCCACTGACCTACCCACGTGGATACAGGGCTTCCTCATTGAGGACTACTAGGCTTATTCACACCCACTGTCCAGGCTCATTCTGAGAGAGATGGAGGGAAGTCACACCAGAAGAGGTCACAACAGATATCAGCCAGGACAGCCCAGCTCTGTGCGGAGCAGAACCAAGGCCCCAGAGCCTTCAGAGCAGCCCATTTCCTGGTGTTCCTGCTGCTTGCCTCTCCCCTCCCCACCTTTCCCCTGCAGCCTCAGTTCCTTGGTCCTCTGGGCTTTCCAAAGCAGCAGGGCTGGCAGGCTCCTCACTGCCCCCAGGGGGAGAAATGGCCTGGAAAGGGCACCAGTATGAATGGCCATACTGAGACAATCATATTTGCCAAGCCCCTGACCCCCCAAAGTCCTCGCCTTGGTCAGCTCTCAGGTCAGTGTCTTCTGCCAGTCCTTCTAACCTGGCTCCCCTCTTCTTCACCCCTTGGCCTACTCCTGACACACTGACCTTCCTCTTTGCCAATCTTCAAAGCTTTCAAGTTCTTCTCCTCTCAGGGATTTTATACTTAAACTTCTTTCTGCTCCCCCCACCCACACCTCCCAGCCATCCTTCACGTGGCTCTCTCTGCTTTTATATCACCTCCTCCATGCAGCCCTCCCTGATCACCCTGCCTAAAGTAGCCACCTTTATGCCAGCTGCTTCAATCTCTTTACCTTGCTTTACTTTCCTTCATGGCTCTTATTTTTATTCCCATCTAAAAGTGTATTTTTATTATGTTTATGTCTTTCTCCTCCGACTGGAACTCTCGGGGCAGGGATAGTGTCTATTTTGTTCACTTCTGTATGTGCAGCATCAACAACACCGCCAGAACATGGTAGGATCCCCCCAAATATTGCTGAATATATAAGTGAATAAAAGAATGAAAATCTCCCTCTAGAAACTGGCGGGGGCTGCATAAAGGAGTCAAGGACCACCGCAGTCAACGGGAGGAGAGGGCTCTCCAGGAAGTCACACAGTGGGAGAGGCTGGAGCAGGTAAGGAATTGGTGGTGGGGGCGGCTCAGCAGCCCTATCTGAGGACCCCCACAGAGCTGGAAGACCACGGGAGACCTCATCTATTTCTGATGCCGGAGTCATTCCTTGGCTGTGGAAGACTCGTAGGAGTTAAGTAAGGAATTGGGAGTCACATCCCAGTTCTGCAACTTGCTAGCTTTGTGCCAGTGAGACAATGAATTAACTACTCCCAGTCTCAGTTTCTCCTTCTGTAAGATGGTGTGGAACACAAGGCAGTTTTTGTGAGGATCATACAGCAGGTGCATGTCAAACTCTTAGACTCGGTGGATGTGCCTGTCACAGAGGCCAGGCTCGTAGTCACTGCCTTGGTCCTCTGGGAACCAGGATCTGAAACTGAAAGTCTCATCTCTACCTGAGGGGATGGCATTTGCTCATCAGAATATGTTTTTCTTTCCTTTCATATTTTACAAGAGTTTGTTTGTTTCGGGGCGAAAGCACAAGACCTGCCTCAGAACACCTGGGCAGGGACTCAACTCTGCTGCGTGGCCCTGGACCCATCATTTTGCCTCTCCAAGTCTTGCCTTCCTCATTGCACTGAGATGAACAATGGTGCACCATCCCCTACACACACCACATTGAATTGCATATTAGCCCTTTATACTTAAAATTCTGCTTCTTTCACTGGATCTTAATTTTATATTTATTTCCACAAAATATAAATTCACTTTTTGTAAATATTTCACGTATATGTCTATATATATTTTATAAATCATTATATCTACTTCTGGAATGTCAGATATTTACATATAGAGGGGCAGCAGGGTGTGAGGGTGAAGAGAGGGGACTATGGAATTAGAAGGTGTAAGCTCAGATCACTTCTAGACTTCTGGCATCAACAAGAGTGCCAGAACATGGCAGTTACCCCAAAGAACCCCAAAATATTGCTGAATGTGAATTAATAAATGAACAAATGAATGAAAATGAATGAATGAAGTGGCTCTACTGTTTACTAGAGGTGACCTTTGACAGTTGTGTTACCTTCTGTCTACGTCAGGTTTCATCATCTGAAAACGAGAAGGTATGAGGACCTACCTTGTAGATTTGTTTTGAAGAGCAACTGACAAAAAACACATGAAGTTGTGAATTGGGCTTCATATCAGCATTATTTGTAAAATCCAAAAGGTGGACACAGCCCTAATGTCCATGAATGAACAAAATGTGGAATATACGCACAACAGAATATTCTTCAGCATTCAAAAAGAAGGAAATTCTGACGCGTATTATAACATGGATAAATTTTGAAGACATTACACTAAATTAAATACACCAGTCATGAAAGGACAGGGATTGTAGTATTCCACTTATATGAGGTCTCTAGAGAAGTCAAATTCATAGAGACAGCAAGGAGGATGGGAGTTGCCAGGGGCTAGGAGGAAGGGGAATGGGAAGCTGTTGTTTAAAAGGTAAGGAGTTTCAGTTTTCAAGGTGAAAAAAGTTCTTTGGATGGATGATGGTGATGGTTGCACAACAGTACTAATGCACTTAATGCCACCTAACTGTACACTTAAAAGAGTTAAAATGGTAACTTTTATGCTATGTATATATATGCACATAAAAACATACAAATAAAATATAAAACCTATATAACATACTCACTTACTGTGGTGCCTGGCATAATAAATGCTAGATTTAAAACTAAATAAATGAAATAAGATACCCTTTGCAAGAATGAGTGATGTCAAAGAGTTTTATAACCTGTAACGTGCCATCAAAATACATCATGTTCCCACCATGCTTTACCTGCAAGGTGAATTCTAGTGGCAGTGGACTGCACCCAATGCGACAGCCAGTCGCTTCTGGAAAGACTTCCTTTCCCACCATTTCCCTGCACATCAGCTTCTTGGCCTCTCTGCTGATGGGCAGTGGATGCCCCTAGAAACCGATGCAGACAGGTGTTTGGGCATCTCACCGTTGATGGGAAACCAGAAGCAAATCACTCTCTAATTTGTTGGCCGATGAGTCCAGATCTTCATGATTCATGACTTGTTGGATGTTGTGTTTCAAAGCAAAGCTCAGCAGTGTGTGGTTTTGGTAGTGTGGGAGAGAGGGCTTGTCTGAGTGTGGGGAACGTGGGGAACGCAGCCCACCACCCAGCCCTCGGAAGACTCACCAGTGTTATTGCTGATCCCAGTGCTGAAGGCAGGTTTGCATTTCAAATGTCCCGTGTCCACTCAGGAGGAAAAGTGGTCTGGGCTCTCTGGCCAACTTAAGGGAGATCAGAAGCTCTCTTATTTTTAGAAGATTCTACCCCTACTTGCCTCAAAAGAATGCTGCCACATCCACACTGGCACAGGGCTACTCAGGCTCAGGGAGTGTCCCCGGGGTTCAATAACTTTCTTCTTTTCCTCTTAGGCACAGCCCAGGTCCAGGAGGCAGGAGACCTGGGTCTTGCCCTGCCACCTGCCATCAGCATCCCAGGAAACTTGCAGAGACACATCTAACTTCCCTGCACCTCAATCTCTGGTGCTGGAAAACTGGGACTCACTGTTCAGATGCGAGGTGGGTTGAGGAAAGGAGAAGGTGCTGGTGATGAAGAGGGCCTTGGAATGAGAGTCGGGGTCACACTGGCTACAACTTCTCCCGTTCTCTGCTTGAAGCTCCTTTATGATTGGAGAGGCTGGCAAGTGAGGGAGGCAAGACCATCAGCTCTGGAGTCCGACGGCCCAGGTTTCAGATCCCAGTTCTACAACTTACTGACCTGTTTCAGTTTCCCCATCTGCAAAAGAGATTAAAAAACAAAACAAAACAAAACAAAAAACAACCATGCCTACCTTGTGTCATTACCATGAGGATTAGCTAGGTTGATTACTGTTAAGCAATCAGCACAGTTCCTGGCACATAGTAAACCACAGGCAAGCGCTTGGTCTCCTTGTCCCTGTTGCATTTGACAGAGGACTTGCCTTAGTAGCGAGCTCTCTCTCCCCTGATCTGTGTGGCTCTGGGATGTGGCCTAATAGAAACAGATCTAAAGGGCTGGTGAGGATTGGGTGGAAAAGAGATTGTGAAACAATGATCAACACAGAAACTGCCCTGGAGATTTTCTAAAAGGTTCTCGCATTCCTTTAATTAACTTCCATGAGGGAAAGACAGAAATCAAATGAATAAGTCAGGAGAGAATGCTGACATTTAGGGAAAGAAATGAGCTTTGATGTCAAACAATCTTCAGTTCAGATGGACTCTCGCTGTGTGGCTTTAGGAAAGTTGTTTAACCTCTCTGAATCTCAGTTTCTGTATCCAAAAAGTGTGCATAGTAATCCTTTCCATTCAGGGCTCCTGTGAGAATTAAAAGAGATGACGTAAGTCAATATCTAGCTCAGCCCTGCTGTCTTAAACACACCTACAAAATTTTGCAGCTCTTCCTATCAAGAGGTGGAGTTTATTTTCCCGTTGCTGAATATGGGTTGACCTTGTGAGTGGCATTGATCAGAAGAATGCAGTGGAGGTGACCTTAAGGGACAATGCAGCTTTCACCGGGGCCGTCCTGAAGCACTGCCCAGAGACCTCAGATCAGGAAACTGGTCTAGCCTTCTGGAAGACAAGAGGCCCCAGGGAGGAGCATCAGGGTATCCAGTCAAGTGTCCCAGCACAGCTGCTAGACATGTGCCTGAGGTCATCTTGGGACCTTCCGGCTGAGACAAGCAGAAAATCACACAGCCAGTTTACAAAATTGTAAAGCAATTCTGGTTGATTGAAGTCGTCCAGTTTTGTGGGGAGGTTGTGTTATACAGCAAAGGCTACTTGAAACAGCCCTCAGTATAGACTGGTTGAATTGAATAACCGTAGAGGTGAAAAATCCCTCGAAAAACACAGCACATGCTTTTAAGCACAAGCTGCTATTATTATTCATACAGACTAGTTATAATAAGAATACAATAAGAGGTAACAATGTAACAATCATGGTTGTCTGATGACTTCTTATTTCCTGTCCCCTGGGAGAAGACCACAGTCAGCTGGAACAGGTTTTGACAGGCTCAAATAAGCAGCAAACTTCTTTGCACACAAACATTTTAAATTTCTCCGTCTTTTCCTGTCTGTAATAGCTCTGCATCGCCTCACTGGGCCACCTGGGATGGTGCCACAACTCCTATTAATATTGCCATACGTGGCAGCATTGCACTCGAGTCCCACGCTCTCAGCTGCCTGTGTGTGGCACAGAGCCTATTTTTAGTGTTTTACATCTGTAATTATGTATGTTTCACTGCCTCTCAAATGCATATTTGCTCTGGGGAGAGGTAGTGCTTATGTAATCTCAGCTATTTTTGATAGGACAAAATGTGTTATACCAACCTGCTAAGTCTCATTCAACCAGAGCAAACAGTCCAACAGTCTCTTCCTCACTCAAACTCCCATGTAAGCAGGGGTGATATTTGAGACATTTTGAGTACTGGTGAAACATTGTCACTGACAAATCAGAATAGAACCAACCATTACATCACATCGGTGTTTATAGCTCTGTTTTTAAGGGCCAATTCAGACTACAAATCTATTCATGATTTTTACAAATTAACATTCCCTGCAAGGAAACCAATCAACTGGGAAGGGGAGCTCAGTGTGATCCTGGTGTTATCCGGATGACATCAGCCTTGCTGACTGCCTGGATCAGTTTCCCAAGGTGTCATGTCCTTGGCCAAGAAGTTTTTCCAATGCAGTTTTCTAGCTTGGAAGGAAGAAGAACTGGCAAAGTCAAGACCAACTTGGTGGGCCTCAGTGATGGAAATCTGGGGCCCAGGCCTAGCAGATGAAGCAGGTAACCTGGGGAGGTCCCCACTGTGGACATGCTGCAGAGATCCAGACAGGGAGATAGATGGGTGAGGGTCAAAGCAGCTGAGCAGCTGACAGTGGGAAGCAAGCAGATAAGGGCAGGACCCCAGGCCTGCAGAAACCAGGAGATCATAAGATGCCCCAGGAAAGGGGATTCTGCCTAGGGGAAACACACAGTCTTTTACTCATTCACTTACTCATTCAGTGGATATTGACGGAAGTGTCTACTGGGAGCCAGAGACTGCCCTAGTTGCCAGGGAAACAGATAAAAACTTCTAGCTTACTTACAAGATATCTGTTTTTCTCTATGTATTAAAATGTTTAAATAGAAAACTTAGAAAATACAGAAAAGAATAAAGAAGAAACCCCATCTTCTGGATTGTCATCTCTTGAAGACCATCCTTGTTAAGGTCTGGTTCATCTCCTTATTTGTACATGGTATATGCTTTTTAACCTCAGAATTGGAATTGTATCATATAAACTATTTTTCACTCAGTATTATATTTCCAGAAGCTTCTTACACCTCTAATAGTTTTTGTGAATATGACTTTTAGTGGCTGCAGAGAATCTCATTTTGGGGACTTGCTATAAATTATATAATGGCCCTCAATTCTCATCAATGTTGCCTCCAAATAAAAAATATTATATTTCCCCTAAAATTGTCGTTTATGGCCAGCCATGGTGGCTCATGCCTGTGATCCTAGCACTTTGGGAGACTGAGGTGGGCAGATCACCTGAGGTCAGGAGTCTGAGACCAGCCTGGCCAACATGGCAAAATCGTCTCTACTAAAAATACAAAAGCCGGGCGTGGTGGCACATGCTTGTAATCCCATCTACTCAGGAGGCTGAGGCAGGAAAATAGCTTGAACCCTGGGAGGTGGAGGTTGCAGTGAGCCGAGATCATACCACTGCACTCCAGCCTGGGCGACAGAGTAAGACTCCATCTTAAAAAAAAAAAAATTGACATTTATATGCCACAAAAACATGCCACCTAGTACCTTCATGAAAAATGAAAATAGAGTGGTGGTGTCTTCTATTTGAGAAGTATATCAGAACACAAGTGAGTGAAAGTTATAGTACTATATCAAATAACCTTAATTTGCTCTTGTTTGTACAAAAATTTTTAAACTTCCATACTTTTTCATACATTATTTTCACTATTATAACTAGCAAAATGGTAATAATTGTCATTGGCAAGAGTACAGACAAATGAACACTTATACATTTCTGTTGAGAGTTCAAATTTCACTGTGTTGAAAGATTTTTAAATGCTCAGACCCAGCATTCACCTTCTAAGAATTTATGTTAAGGAATTAATGTTATAGATGTGTACAAAGATTTATGAAAAACAATATTTAAATCAGCATTATTTTTGTGCTTAATACATAGTAACTTCTAAAAATGGAAGCTATAATTACCAGTACTAGCATCACCAATTCCTTTTCCAGCCCCATCTGGCTTTTAGAATAAGAATATTATAATTAATACATTTTTACATTGGGTTTCATCTCTTTCCAGAATTATTTTTTGACACTTGCATTGTTTTATAATCACGTTAACCGCAATTATTAAGAAATTAACTTGAAATTTTTGGTTCTCTGTTAAGCAATGTTTCTTTTATATTGCTTTTCCTCGTATCTGAATTATTTATTTTGCTTCATTTTTCAGCCACCTGGAGCGTTTCTTTGATGATTTTTGCTTTCAAGAAGTAATAGTCACAACTTATGTTGTTTATGAATCTGTCCGCATAAGATTATCTGCACACTTTCAGAGGGCTGTGACTGGGATTGCAGACACCACGCCAGGAGTGGAAGCACCAAAAAGATTACAAATATACAAGAATAGCACCTTGGCCGCATATAGTCTTAGTTCTCAATCTCAATCCTCTGAAAGTTTGTGGATTTTGATAACATTTTATCTTAGAATTTGCTAAGAAGTGTGACCTAGTGCAATTTCTTTCTTTCTTCTTTTGGAGGTAATTTGGGTACTTCTACCCCCACCCCAGAGGACTAAATGATTATAGGATTTTAAATTTTGTTATCCTTGAAATGCAAACATTTTAGCCATGTATGCATCAAAGAACTCTTAGAGGGGATAGCAGATCTTTTCTTAGAAGGCCATACAGCTTTCTAAGTAGGTCATAGGGTCTGTAGAGGCGAGCATGCAATTCTGCTGTTGTAGCAGGAAAGCCGCCAGAAACAATGAATAAATGAGCAGGCATGGCTATGTTCCAATAAAACTTTATTTGCAAAAGCAGGTGAACAGACTGCTGGGGCAGTTTGCCTCTAGATTCTACAGACACAAGTCTTGCTTCAACTCAGGGGAATTTTCTGTCATATCTTGAGTTATTTTTTATCTTTCATTTGCTCTGTTGCCACCATTTAAAAATCTTACATAGAGAGTTGATCTGTAGCTTCCTTTGTAGTTTCCTCTCTCCTTTTTCTTTCTTTTCTTATTTTCTCCATTTCTTGTCTTCTTTTCACTGATTCTGGGAGGATTCTTTGAGCTCACTTCCAAATTCACAGATTCTGTTTTCTGTTCTATTCAATCTGCTCTGTATTGCCCTAATGACACTAGAAAATTTCCATGATTATGCTTTTCACTGGGAAACTGTCTTTCTGGATTTCAGGGATTTCCATTAAAAGAAACAATATCTCTAATCTTATGGGAAATACCAAAATGAGAGATCACTTTCACCCTTGTTTATTTGGTATAGTTTTACATCATGAGAGAGGATTTGTTTTGATTTCTCAGAATAAGCTCTGTTTTTTAAATCACAGACACTTTTCCTACCTCTGTTACATTTTCTTTTATTGTACGTATTTGCAGAGGGAAAACCATCGATCCACTGTTACAACTTGAGAATGATTCTGTTAGAAACTTATTTAAGTATGTTACTCACAGAGGGGAAAAGGATTTGTTGGTCTATTCTGTAGGTATTTTTCTAGTTTGGAGGTTCAGTTGACTATGATGAACAGAAGGTGGGTGAGTGGGAAGGTGCAGCAGGAAAATGCACCATTTCCTGGTGGTTTCTTTTCACCCCGTGCAGGCACTAGGGCAGCAGCATCCGCAGTCATCTGCAGGGCTGAGATTTGCTCACTCCACTGCTAGGGACCCTCTCCTGCTGGTCCTCACCTAGCCTTCCCAGTGAGGGCTCCATTTACTCTCCTATTGAGGCAGGAGGCAGAACTCGACTCTGGAGGTGGGGCTTGGACACCAGACCTAATTGAGGACCAGCTAAAACAGGTCAGGGGTAGAAGCCCTTCCCCATAAGGCGCACCCATCAGTGTGCCATGTCAGTTTACCAGTGCCATGGCAACGCCCAGAAGTTACCCCCTGCCCTTTCCATGGCAACACTCGACAACCCAGAAGTTACCTCCCTCATTCTAGACATATCTGCATGGACCACCCCTTATTTTGCATGTAATTAAAATTGGCTATAACTACGAGTACAGTGGCACTTCTAGGCTGCTACTCCGGGCACACAGCTTATAGGGCAGGCCTGGTCTGTC